GGACTTTTCCCAAATCTCTGGCATTTGCCTGAGGCAGTAATCCACTCAACTGGCCTTTCATTGTGGCTGAGTCCAATCTTCCAATTCTGTTCTGTTACCTCCCGATCAATCCCTGGCCACTTCCCACCCTTAATCCTATCTACACTTCTTTCTCCCTTGGCCACAGTGGTCCAGGTCCCTGGTATTCTATTCACCCTAGCTTCCTGGCCCCTCAGACCCAGATCCTCCTTAGACCCCTCCTCCAGTCACCCCAGATTACTTGTCCACTCCTAGAGCCTTCCCACAGTCTTTCTGTATATAAGATTCTTCTTGTCTCCATTAAGGTGCTCAGATTCTTATAATGTAGCCAAGGGCTTAGATTCTTAAGATTTGGCCTGCTTGCATTAGCAATACAAATGATTAGATTCCTTAAGAGTCTGGCCAATGTGGCTGATCTTTAATAAAACTTGTCTTTGGCTGAAAAAACGCTTGGATTGAATTCATTCAGGCATGATCCTTGTGTTGTGATTTTGAAGTCCCAGCACCCCTAAACCTCTAAACCTCAACAGGGCTGTTTTTCATTTTGTCTTTGTATTCCTAGAACCTTGCACAAAATCTGACACATAGTAGGACCTTAATAAGTGCTTGTTGAAATAGACTAGAAGAGGAGAGTCAGTCCTCAGTCTAGAATGGCAAAGTCTGTAAATCATCAAGAGAATAAATGGAATTGAATCGAAAGTCAAATTCCACAATAATTAGAACTATGACTGTGGGGCAAATGAAAAGAAGTCCTATTTTGCAGAGTGGAAAATAAATTGATAAACTCTCATCTCAACAGACCACACATTCAAGTGGTTTCAAGAAAATTAAGATAAATTTGCAGTGGGCAAATACACAGTGAACTATTAAAATACACCAGTGTTACACGTATTTATAAAGGAATAGGCACTAGATTTTTGTTCAGAAGATCTGGGTTTGAGATATCTCCCACCCTCACTCATTTCCTAAGATCACCACCTTTGTCGAGTCAGTGTGTTCATTGGAAAGGGCTAAAATGGCCTCAGGTTTCCCATTTGTAAAATGGACATATCCAAAACTTTCATTACCTACTTTACCCAGTTATTGTGAGGATCAAAATGTAGGGAAAGCACTTCAAAACAGAAAAACATTATACAAACTAAGAGATTAACAAGTTTTTATTTCTTTATTACTTGAGGACATCAAACCTAAGCTTTGAAGATAAAATAAAGATGTTTTTCCACAGTCTTGTTTTCCCACAATTCCTGTCTGGATAGAACAGTTCTGGATTTTCTTTCAGGCAGGGTGAGGAAAATGAATAGATTCAATTAAATTCAATTTAACTCAATTCAATTCAATCAGCACTTATTAAGCACCTACTACCTGCAAGTTATTTACTAGACACTGAGGACACATTGACAGAAATGTGCATCAATCCCTCTTCTCAAAGAGCTCACATTCTAATAGTATTTTCTACGGTGGAGAAAGGGGGAGGAGCCAGGGTTAATGAGAAATTCGCAGTGGAGAAGCATGAATAGAATTTAGATTAGCATAACTAGTAAGCTAGCATAAAATTAGAATTCATACTAGTAACATCAAATTTAACTCAAGACAAAAAGTCAGATCAAATCAAATTTGTTTCAGAGCCCAGCCTTTTAAACTGGGAGCTGGTGGTATCCCATGGTGTCCCTCCACCACTGATGGCTAACCTCTGTCATCCCCCATACCTTGGGAGTTGGTTGTTCATTATCTCATCCTATCAGATCCATATCCCTTAGGCTTAAATTGTTAATATGACACTTAGCTTTAGATTTCTGGGCTGACTAGAGAGGGTTAAAATGGCCTTACTGGCTTCTCTAAAGAGGCACACATTCTTCTTAACAAAGCAACAACCTTGCTTTCATTTTGTAACCCAGGGAGATTCCCAGTGATGGGAATTTTAAGTCAGATAGCAAGGGAGAAAGAAGTCAAGGAAAACCTATGGGAAGATATTTTGGTTTAAAGAAGAGTATTTAGGATATGTCTCAGGTCAAATTATTAGCAGCTGCAACCTACATCACATCTAACTAACACTGACCTGAATAAGATAACAAGGAGAATGCATTTTACAGGCAAGTAAACAAAAGTCTTCTTCACTTCATGAGACAGGGAAGTAATTGGCAGCAGTAATTTAAGGGTTAAAGCTAATGGGACTGCCACAGAGACAGAGAGTTGAGCTGGGACCCCTAAGTGTTTATGTGCCACTGAGTTTGCTATTTGTTTTCATTTGTGAGCCTAGGTTGGTTGGAGGTGATAATTGTTTAATTGTGCATATTGGCTTTTTCATTTAAAAAAATTCAATAAAGTTTCACTATTTTTTAATCTAAAATAATGGACTCATGCTGTGATAATTATCGTGATAAAATGTAAAAAATAAATAAATAACCTCCTACTTAAAAGATTCCTTTTATCTGCCAACAAGTTCTATCTACTGAATGTAAACTTAATTGCAATATATTTCCTTAATGATCTCTTCTAATTGGGTCTCCCTGATATGGTATCTTTTTAAAGTTGCAGCCCAGTAACAGAGTATTTGCTGTTAATTCTTTAAAAGCCCCTTTAAGTGATGGGTGCATATAGAAATACTGATTTTTTTCCCTACATATTTTTATTAGTAGTTAGAGAATGGAATATTTTAAATACCCTTAACATGTACATTTTTAAAGCAATCACAGTAAAATGAAGACCAAGATATTGGTTGTTTTTCCTGTCATCAAAACAAACCAAAAAAAAAAAAGTAGAAATTAAAGCTATTGTCTAGAGATTTGGGCAAAATTTTTTTTCTTCACAATTTGGTTATTTTCGGTGAAGGAAATGTTTTGAGAATTTAAACTCCGATGAAGGGACTGTTTTATTATGCTCTTTCAGTATATCCTTTAATAACTAATGTATTTCTGGATATATATTGTTTTAATTAACTTTTCTCCTTTCCTTGGAATAGATACCTAGTGAAACGGTACACAGGGAGAAAAGAAGAGGGCCTACTATAACGCCTTGGAGAACATCCGTGGTTAACAAGTATGTCCTGAATGAAGATCCAGTAAAGGAAAATAAGAAGGGGCAGTCAAATAGCTAGAAGAGCTAGGAAAGAGCAGCATAAAGAAGAGAGTATTAAGGAGAGGGGTATGATCCCAGTGTCAAAGGCTTCAGAGAAGCCAAGAAGGATGTGGATTGAGAAAAGGCAATATATTTGTCAATTAGGAGATCATTTGTAACTTTGAAGAGAACCATTTTGATAGTATGAGGATGGAAGCTAAACAACAGAGGGTTAAGAGGGAGTGAGAGGAAAGGAAGTGAAATCATGGATAGCCTTCTCAATGAGATAAGCCAGAAAAGGGAGAAGACATATAAGATGATAGCTAGCAAGGATGTGTGGATCAGATTGAGGAATGAGTTTGGTTAGGTTTTCACTGTCCATAGAAGTTTAGTCTGTCCCAGGGCATCAGCAGCAGTGCGTCGCTGGAAAGGAAGAGGCAGTGTCTGGGCACAGGCAAACCGACCACTGTTGAGTTTAGGTGGCCAATTGTACCTGGAGTGTCATCTACTGGCTGCTCTGGGAAGTCTTCCCAAGCTCACCCAGGCAAGCCAGTTGTCATCCTGTTGATTTACATAGATTTTGTAGTTTACTTTGTATTCTATAATGAGGAGGGTATTCTTGTGCAGGTATAGGTTGGACTAGACAACTTCTGAGATCCCTTTCATCTCTGGGACTCTGGGACTTGAGTCTAACTTAGTACACCAGGCATTTAAAAGGTTTTCCTATCTTCAATATTTCCACTTTCCAAGGTATTCTTCACATATTCTACTTAATACACAAGTAAGACAACATTAATCCCCGACTGAAAACCTTCAGTGGCTCCATATAGCCTAGCAAATAAAATCCAAATGCCTTAACCTGACTCTCAAGGCTCTTCATGATATGTCCCTAAGGCCCTTTACCAGCCTTATGTCACACTAGTTTCTGTCATACACGGTTCAGTGAACCAGAATTATGTCACTATTCTTCCTGTTCTTTCACACTGCCATTGATGTCACCACGTGTGCATGGAACAGACATTCTTCACATTTCTACCTTGGAAAGGCCTCTTCTTCAAGATCCGTATCAGACACCACTTCAGTGAAGATTTCCCTAGTTCTCTCTCTCTCTCTTTAGCCAGCAGTGATCCAATCTTTCCAAAATTCCCTTGTTCTATTCCGTTTGATCTCTTCTGGGTACCTAGTCATTTCAACTTAGATTATAATTATTCCTGCATGTGCCCTGTCTCCACCATTAGTCTATATGAACCCATATAAACTTTCTGGGGTTAGGGGGATATGTAACGTTTCATCTTTTTTATCCCCAAAACCTAGTACAGTACCTTGAACATCGTAGGAATTTGAGAATATTGAATTGGATTGCAACCAGACAGGAATCTTCTAGAACCTGGTGATTGATTGCTCTTTCCTCTGGATATCACATAACTGAGTTAGTAGTCATTCCTGAGTTCTCAGATGGAAAACAGCTAGGCTTCTGAGATGGAATGTTGAGGGCTCTGGTTTGGTATTTGAAAGAATATTTCAAGAAATGTGCAAAGATGTGGGATTTGGTCCACAGCAAAAATACTCCCCCAATTAAAAAAAAAAACAAATGAAACAAAAATTTAAAAATCTTCATAAAGTTTTATTTTCTTTTATTTATAGAATAAAATAGTTGATAGACTTTAGGCCTTTAAAATTGACTCCTGAGGCAGCTAGATGGCACAGTGGATAGAGAACCAGCCCTGAAGTTCAAATCTGGCCTCAGAGCAAACACTGGACACTTACTAGCTTTGTGACCCTGGGTAAGTCACTTAACCCCAATTGCCTCAGTAAACAAACAAACAAACAAATAAATAGATAGATAAATAAATGAAATTGACTCGTATTTACAGTTTATAATACTAAGATCTTAGAAATCATCTAGTTTAATTCCTTTATTTTACATATGATGCTAGAGCTACAGTTGAAAGAGAATGTAGAAACTATGTAGGTCAGTACATTCACTTCACAAGCCAGAAAATGAGAGCCAGAGAGTTTGTTACTTGCCCAAGATTACATACATAAGTAATACTAGATTCAAGATTTGAACACAGGTCTTCTGGCTTCTGTGCCAGGGTTCATTCCACTTTACCATCTTTTCTTCCTAAAAGCAGAGAAAATATTTAGTTTGCCTGTGGTCATATACAAAACTTACTGTTTCCTCAACTCTATCTCATAAGCCTTAAATTTTCCCTAAATTCAACTCAGCTGTCAAATCCTCCAGAAATCTTTTGTTATTCTATACTCGTTAGTGAGTTGAGTCAGCTCAACTCAACCAGCATTTATTAAGCAGTAATTCAATTACTGTGCTAAGCAGTGGGAACACAAATTGAAGCGAAAAGAAAGACAGTCCCTGCTCTCAAGGAATTTATTTCTAATATGGAAAGACAACAACTAAAAAGAAGCTAAAAGGGGGAAGGGGAGTAAAAAGATAATGGTACCCATCTGGGGTCATGATGGAAAAAGAAGTCCAAGAGCATGATGTAGAAAGATGTCCAGTGGGAAGTGTCCAGCAGGTAGTCAGGAGAGAGAACGGCTCTTGATATGCTGATCTGGGAATCATTTGAATGTGGAGGATAACTAAAGCCATGGAAACTGATGAGGCCTATAAGAGAGTACGGAGAGAAGAGATGAGGGTTCAGGACAGGGTTATTGTGCACTAATAATTAGGGAGTGGGATAAGCAAAAGAGTAGAAGAAGGAACAAGAGAGACACAGAAACTCAGAGAGGAGAGAGCATCTGAGTAATAATATTTGAAGCAAAGCTTTGAGAAGAGAATGAAAGATGAGGATGTAGAAGCAATGATCAACAGCTATTTTTTTCAAGGAGTTTGGCTATGAAAGAGAGGACAGATTTAAGATGGTGGCTTGAGGACTTAGAAGGGTCAAGTGATTTTTTTTAGTGGAGGAGATCTTGTCATGATTGTTAGAAGCAAGGCATGATTGTTAGAAGCAAGGAATGAGCCAATAGATTGGGAGAAATTGTAGACTGGTGTGGGAGTGATTGTGAGAACATGTCCAAAATAGAATTATCTATCTCCAAAAATCTGTTTGTTTTCATAACTTTCATATCTCTGTCTAGGTCACCTTCATCCTGCTAATTAATATTCCTTAACTTCTCAATCTCCCTCATTCCAGCTATTTAGTCAACTACCAAATCTTATTCATTGTAACTTCACATCTCATACATTCACTTTTTTCTTTCTGTTTCCACAGTCTTCATCACGTCTTGTCAGGACAATTGCAATAGCCTTCTAATTGGTCTCTAAGCTGTAAAGCTCTCTCCTTTCTAAATACATCCTCTACAAGCTACCAAAATGAGATTCCTCAGGCATAGATTTGATCATCATTCCTCTACTCAATAAATTCTAGTGACTCCCTATTACCTCTGTGGTGAAATACAAACTCCTGTTTGTCATTTAAAGACCTTCATAACCTGGCTGCAACCAACCTTTCCAGCTTTATTATATATTTCTGTCTTCCATGTTCTCTACAGTCCATAAAACAGAAAGACAAGTACAAAATGATCATAATATAGTGATAATAATATTATGATAATAATACTTCATATGCATATGACTCTTTGTCATTTACAAGGTACTTTCTAAAACATTATTTCATTTGTTTCTCACAGAAACTCCAGGCAGGGTATTTTCCCCACTTCTTACTGGTGAAAAATGAACAGCACCAACTCTGACGGCTAGTCAAATGCTCTTTCTGATACATTATGGGTCTGTACTGTTAAGATACTCACACCTATATTATATTTTGGTTTTGAACTTAATTTTGGTTGTTCTGTTGTTCTTCAATTTTTTTGTTCTGTTTTGTTTTTAAAAGTGCTCAGAGTCATGATGTTATAAGGGCAGCTAGATAGCACAGTGGATATATTGACAGAACTAGATTCAGGAAGACTCATCTTCCTGAGCTCAAATCTGGCCTCAGACACTAGCTGTGTGACCCTGGGCAAGTAACTTAACACTGTTTGCCTCAGTTTCCTCATCTGTTAAAATGAGCCTGAGAAGGAAATGGGAAACTATTCCAGTATCTTTGTAAAGAAAACCCAGAATTGGTTCATAAAGAGAGTGAACAACAACAGAAAATGATTTTATCTGAAGTGCTGTTTCAGTACAAACACTTTGCTGTTTGCATTTTTCTCAGTTTGCCTATTTCTTAATGCCATTAAAATGAGTTGGCTGTCTCTGAATTACTACCAAAATATATCAGTTAAGATAGACCTGATCTTTGATTATGTTGCCTGCCATCTTGAAACAAGATGGTAAGTAGTAAAAAATTTAGATGAGTGTATTCTCTTTTTCTTTCTTTCTTTCTTTCTTTCTTTCTTTCTTTCTTTCTTTCTTTCTTTCTTTCTTTCTTTCTTTCTTTCTTTCTTTCTTTCTTTCTTTCTTTCTTTCTTCTTTCTTCTTTTTAATGTAGTACAGTGAAGGTAAGTGAGGTACCCAGATCCAGGTAACAGAGGCAGCTGATGACACTGGGCAAAGGCTACACTCCACAGCCAATGTTACACTTTAAACTTTTACAGCCCTATTTGTACATGGCTAGTCCCTGCCCATCTTTTATTTGATGTTTTTCTCTTCCTGGATCCTAATTAAAGCCAACGAGATTATCTCTAAAGGCATTCCCAGTTTAACAAAATCTCACTCATTTTTGATCAGAAGTTCCAAAGCACCTCCCTCCCTTCTGCTTGTGGTCATCTGCAGACTGTACCAGCATGTACTTTCTCTGCCATCCAGACTGCTAATGAAAGTGTTTAATAACATTACCTCTTGTTAGGTTCCTCCCACACTGCCGGTGATCCATCCGAAGACACTCTCTGAGTGCTAGATGCCAGTCAGTTACATCCGTCAGTCTGGGACTTAATCACTGTGAGATCCATATGGCATTTTCTCCCACTTAAATGATGATCATCTAATATGAGACAGAATCACAAATCTTTGTAAGATCCAGATGGAGGATATGTTTCCCACTCCCTCATCTTCCCAGTTCTGTAACTCAGCCATCCTTGCCAGGTAGGGAAAAAAGATCATTACAGGAGTGAAATCGACAGCCTAAATATCCCTTTCCACCTGTCCTGCAGTGTCTTTAATTGAAGCTCTCATCCAAGATATTCTAGAGGCTCTGTAGGACACAAGAATGGATCCTTACTATCTAGTGTTTTTAAAACATGTCTATTTCAATCCTCTCCCCAGGAAAACTTACCTCTTCTCTCTGCCCTTGAATTCCCCACTTCATGGAAACAAGGCTGTCAGTAATAACAACTACATACTAAAATCTGTTTGACCCCAGATTATAATGAAATCAAGGTTTTCTGACATCACTTAGGTTCATATATATTAACAAGTCATTGACACTTTCCTAAAACTTCATTTTAAAAATTTGCCCTAGCATAATCATACTGTCATATCCATTCTTCTTTATATCCTTTCCAATAACTGCTAACTACCATCCTATGTGTGAAGGGAGTGTAAAAAGATTTCTTCATCAGTTAAACTTCTCCATCTTCAGTTACTGATGCCATTTTCACCAATCATTTTTAATTCAGAGGATTATAATGTTACTGGAATTTTAATTGTCAAAAAATAATGGAGGGGCAGCTAGGTGGCACAGTGGATAGAGCACCACCCCTGGGGTCAGGAGGACCTGAGTTCAAATCCAGCCTCAGACACTTGATACTACTACCTGTGTGATCCCGGGCAAGTCACTTAACCCCAATTGCCTCACAAAAAAAAAAAGAAAGAAAAGAAAAAAAGAAATGGAAATAACTTGAATAATGGGCATGAATAGGAGGTCTCTATTCATGTTATGTAAATAATATCAACCAATTCAATTAAAATTTAAAAATTAAATTGTAAAGTCATGTTTTTCTCCCATGATGCCAACTGAACTTATTCTATAGGATGAGTCCATTTATAAAGAATTGGTTGACATCCTTGTGTGCCCAAATTCATTGCTTGATTTTATGAGTCAGTTAAGTCAATATGCTAGATGTAGTGTCGTGGTGCCCTCATCATCATCACTGTAGTCATTGTTATCATAGTTTTGCTTGGAGGGAGAAGTTATATACTAGATGTGTGATTTCACTGATGTAGAGAATTCCCTGTAAAAGAAAAGTTCCCTCTACCAAGACACATTAGCATTTGCTGCGTAATTTATACTCTTTTTTTCACATTTCTTTAATTTATTTTTAATTTATGAAATGAAACATTTCCAAATCTTAGAAGGTTGTCCGTAGGCAGCCAGAGGTACTAAATGACTTACAACCCAGGGTCACATCAGCAGTATGTGTGAGAGGCAGGATGAGCCCAGACATTCTTGACTCTAAGGCCCCTCTCTATTCATAATTCTGTTGTCCTGATAGAGAGGATAGACTTGTGAAATTAACAAATTGTCATTGTTTCTTCTGTGTGCAGTGCACTGTGCTGGGAGCTGGGGATAGAAACACAAACATGACATAATTCCTGTCCTCAAAGAGTAGCATTCTATTTAGAAGCATAATATAACTTGTTAGCAGATAGGTAAATATGGAATACGTACAAAAGAAATGTACAGCATTTTGTTTAGTTTTCCTCTTGAAGGTAATAGCACTTGAGTTAACCATTTAAGAGAGTTAGGAATTCTAAGAGGTAGAGGTGAGAAAAAAGGGTGGGTTTTCTGGCCTGGACACAAGGTTCTGCTGCCCAGTCCTAGCCCAAATTTCAAGTTCTAACCTATGCCTCAGCAAGCCTGTGTTTATTAAAAATAGAAAAGAGAAACTGAAAAGAATATACTCTCCTACTAGCTGACAGCAACCTCATTTCCTTAGCCCAAAAGGTTCATTCAAATTTTCAAACTAGCTCTTGTATTGTGGAAAGAGTCTTAATGGATTTTCATTTCTCATAAGTAGTAGTGGTTTAAACCTTCTTCTTAGTCTTATGGCTTTAAATATGGAAGTGTGGAGATATTCAAATCAACTCACCCTGACTGGAATTCTGGAATAAGTAACTCAGTTTTGATTGGAGTTAAAGCCATCTGCTCCAACCAGCAGAGGTGCAACATTTGCCACACACTCCATCTGACGAGCAAACGGGCCATTTATCTGGGGGAACCAGGCCTTCCTATGTCCCAGAGAGCGAGTGCCCCTCTTATCAGAGTCTTCCATTCTGCCAGGAAGCCAATGGGCTTTGGGGGTTCTTTGTTTACCCTCTTTAGTGCTTGGCCATTAGAGTAAGTGCCAGGCCTGTTTGTTGTTCCATTCCCCAGGCTGTTCAAGCACGTTTTTTTAAAGCTCTCAGAATGCCACAAGTTCTCATTACCCCACCTCCAGACTCCCCAGTGGAATTCATAAGTGACAAGAAGCTGGAAAAATACAGATGGCATAATTATATATTTTGCAGTTGATTAATCATCACAAAACATTAATCACATTTTGTATAACAATACATAATCAAATTCTTTATAGTAGAAATTAAGTTTCTTTCTGATAGGGAATGCATTCCTTTAGGATATTGACAGGGTTTTTCAGCATCTGTTTGGCTCCAATTCCACATCTGCATTTGATTTTCATCTGCTGTAGGGCTTGGGAAAATGTGGCTTTAAGGTTTGTTTTATGTTTGTAAATGTACATGTTAATAGAAGAAATGTGTGAATAGGGAAATATTTCCACTTGCTAGATACTGTATATATCTCTCCCCAGTCCATAATGGGTTTCTTTCATAGAAATCATTGTTGTTGTTATTTTTTCCTTCGAGTAATGCCCTACAAATCAAAAGTAAATTTCAGATTTTTTTTCTCAACCATCATAGAAATAAATAAATAGCAAAGGATATAATTAGCTTTGTATTACTATAGGGGATAAAGCCTATTCATAGCTTTGCCATATTTAATGCTTTCACACTTAAAGTACTCTCTTTTCTTCATCATTTCAAATGAAATGTATGAATTTCCATACTTCAGTCTATGCATACATAATTATTACTTAGACATGTTTGCACATATAACCATAATAGCATTTATGGACTGTACGTTATGTTTCTACCTGAGTTTGGAGGTCATAAACAAATATTAAATTCTTACCTCTTGGGAATCTCTTTCATTCTGTGAGCATTTTTGAGAGAATTTTCATTGGACACCTATGGGAAAACAAAGGAAACATAATGAACTGTTCCTATCTTCAATGTGCTTACAGTCTAGCTTAGAAAACAAGATATACACCCATGAAAGAACCAGAGAATAATTCCAAGGCAATACATAAGCAAGATATTAATAATTTGATACAGTCAATATAAACACTACTGAGGAAATATAAAGAGAGTAAAATATACGGCTATCCCTCCCACATCGCTAGGGTTAGGGGAGAGGTGCCCTAGCAATCTGGAAAATTCACATAAAATTTTTTAGCTCTCCTTTTGTGTCAAAGAAGTCAGAGGGCTTTTTTTTCCTTTTTCTTTTATGGGTTGTTTACAGTACCTTACTGTAAAATTTGGGTTGATATTATACAATACTATACATATATTTAATGCATTTCTGAATTTCTAAACTTTTTCTGTGTCATCTGCTGGCCTCAGCGTGTTATCTGTCGCTTCTGCAAAGCTCTCAAAAAATTCCCATTTAATTTCTTATGCAAACCTGCAATATATTGAAACCGCAATGGAGAAAGTCTTGATGTGGAAGGGATAACTGTCTTGAGGTTGGCTTACTCAAGTTATTCAGAGAAGATTACATGGAAAGGTTGAATGCTAATGTAGACTTCAGAAGAAAAGTAGTGTCATGTTGGTGGAGGAGAGGAAAAAATGTAATTCTAGATTAAGAGACCACTGTGACCAAGGAGAAAAAAAAATGTAAACAAGGGAGACCCGTGCCACTAATAGTAATATTATTAACCTTTATAAAGGGTGAAATTGTTTTTTCATGGACTTTTGGAGAGTAAAAGTAGGCAGGTAGGTGGCACAGTGAATACAGGGGTAGACCCAAAGTCTAGTTGTTCCTATTGTTAGTCATGTCTGACTCTTCATGACCCTACTTGGGGTTTTCTTGGCAAATATGCTGAAATGGTTTTCTATGTCCTTCTCCAGCTTTTCCTTGTCCAGCACATTTTACAGATGAGGAATTGAAGCAAACAGGGTTAAGTGACTTGCTCAGAATCACACAGCTTTGTCTGAGGCCACATTTGAACTCAGGAAGTTGAGTCTTCCTGACTCCAGCCTTGTCAATCTATCCACTTTGCCACCTAGCTGCCCCAGAATCAGGAAGACCTGAGTTCAAATTCAAACTTTATGCATATTAGTAGTATGACCCTGGGCAAGTTGTGTAGTATCTGTCTGCCTCAATTTCCTCTTAAGTAAAATGGGGATAATACTAGCAACTATGTCCCAGGATTGTTGTAAGGATAAAATGAAATATTAGTAAACTGCATTTCGAATCTTTAAGTACTACATTAATGCTAGTGATGATGATGATGATGATGATGATGTAGGAGCGATGGCTAAAGGTTAGGAAGACTGACTTCATCATAATAAAAGGTTAAAGCATCACTTAATCATAGAACTATCAAAAAGTGGAATGACTCCCTTGGAGTAAGGATTTCTTTTTACTTGACAGCTTCCAGGGGAAGTATTTGTTGGGATGTTGTGGTATGAATTTATGGTTTTGAGTTGAACTAACTTTCCTTCTGTCTCTGAGATCCTAACATTCTCCAGTGCTGTGAAATGAAATTGAATACATGACAGTTAATGGGGAGAGCTTTTTTCTCAGCCTTACATTCAATAAAGTAATATGAAAACAACTATAGGAATGCTCTATTTACTGTTTGAGTCACAAACTCTGTAG